AATGTTAACGAAATAAAATTTAAAGTTTTATAAGTACCCTACGGAATTTACTGCTTTCACTCTGGAACCGCCCACCGGAAAGGTAGATGAACTCATGGACAAACTCCTCGGCTAGGATCTCGAAATTTCTCCAGCTATTCTAATTTCAAGCGACTTAGGCATGTAGAAGGGGGACACCGGACGTCCAGCATAGATTCCTTCGGACTTGGCCCATCGTCTCAAAGATATCGGCTTTTGGCTAATCCCGGTAGTCCTTCCCGCTAGAGACTTCAGTTTAGCTTTCCCTAAGGTTACGATCCACCATCTCCGAGATACTGTCACGAACCACTCCTTCAGCGGACAAACTCCGTATCCCCAGGATACTGCTCTGATTAACTGCTTACTACTGGTACTGCAACTGCTACTAGCCACATTCATCGCTTCTCTTTTATCCTCCCGTCAACAAGGCGAAAGAATCTAGACTGACCTGTTTACCACGTCCAGAGTCATCCCGCATCCGGCGGACGTCAGAACCAAAAAAAAAAGATCCCTGAGAAAAACCGTCATGAATCCACTAATACCCTATACAAGTTATAATACCATCTTCAATAAATATTAATAAATTTAGTTACATAGATTTTACCCAAAAAAATCCCTTTTTAAAAGACTAATTCAAAATTTCTAAAGAAAATATCATTATGATTGAATTTAAACTTTACCGTAGTGGTGCCATCTACAGACAAATAATCTATCTTTAAAAGTATTACAAAAAAAAACTTATAATAAATTTCAATTTATTACATAATCAATAGTGTATCAAAACTCAGCTTAAGAAGAAGAATCAGTAATAAAATTTTTTCAACATGAAATCATCTTTATGAGAACTTGCTTACTGGGAAGATAATCTTTAGAAAACCATTTTATAATACGATTCCATCATTTCGAAATTTAGTCCATCGAAATCGATTTTATTCTATTGACTGGAAAAAAAATAAAACCTATACCCACAAAAGTTAGGGCCACTATATCCTTAACTATTCGCAAGGAAATAGAACAATATTTATTTACCAATAAACTCGGGATTGAAGAGATTTCTCGCAGTGGAATAATTTATCGAATAAATTTGTCAACAATGTTCCATACCCTTACTGAAATGGAAAGACATTTTATCTCCTCAAGTGTGATCTAACTCATTCTACTTGTAGTAATTCTCGCTCTGTGCCCTCTCGGACACTAAAATCTTAGCTTCCTCTCCCCCCCCCCTCTCTTGCACGCAATCCCCCCCCCTACAACTCGTCCACCCCGATCGCCAATCACTCTGGACCTTGTGCCATCTTACCTACCATAATAGGAAGAAGCACTATTAATCCCGGATACCCATAAAAGACGGCCAGGACACGACCCCATCTAGAGGGAAGGGATAGGTAAAAGTGATGGCGTGGGGAGGGTTGGGTGGTACTAGTGAAAGGACACTAGGACATGTGTGTGGGGACATACTTGCTACCAGGACGATGACCAAGCTGTAAATCGAACTAGAAGGTAGGTCGAAATAAACGATGAAAAGAAGAGTGGACGAAGGATGAGGAAGAGTGGAGGATGCAAGGGATGGAGATGCGAGCTAAAGTTAAAGTGACTAATCCAAGCCCATTGCTTCAAGAAGAGAGGGGGGGATCTACTGGGTTTGGGGGGGGAGGACTGTTTTCTTGATTTGGAAAGATAATAGCATTTCTTTTTATTCTACTAACGCCATGAAAAGTTATCGATTGCATTGATTTCATGTTGATTGAATCGATTGGTTTCGTGTTAATCATACATACCGATCTACTGGTTCATTATTTCACAAGTTACTCTGAGATATGAGGAAAAAAATATAATTTTAGCCATTAGTCTATTCTCAATTGCAGAAGATTGGAATAAAAACTAAGATAAACTTGTGTTTTTGAAAGAAGCGAAAATTTCTCCGATTTCGCTGCAACGGCGGGTACATTTCTTCCGACTTGCTCTATATTTATTGCAAGAACAGTTTTTACAAAACAATTCAGTAAAGAGATAAAGAAAGAATAAAAGAAATTAACGAAGAAAATTAAGAAAGAATAAATTCGCTACTCACTTTAGATGTTACATTTTATGTTGGATTCTGTATTTTTCTTGAATTTTTATTTTCTATTTTTTGCTTGACATGCTTTATTTTGTGTTTTTCGTTTAATTTGTTCTGTTTTTGTTTCAAATTTTTTGGTACTCCTTACTCTATTGTATTGATGTATTTTACTTGGGCCATATTAGTACAATATTAGAAAGCACTCTTTTTTGCCGATATAATTGGTTGAGCTTATGACGAGAAAATATCTTTTCCCTATTTTTATTTTTTTCTGGCTCTCTAATTTTTACTCTTTAATGTAATTTTTCTTCCTTTCCTTAAAAATATTTATATTTTCGCCTTGTTTTCTTTGTACATAAAAGTAATTTCAAAATATCAAAATGATGAAAGCAAACTATGGAAGAATTACTTAGGATTTCGCATTGCATGAATTATCACGCTATAATTTGTTTACATTTTGATATTTTGAAATTTTATTTTAATCATTTGAAACTTTAAGGATTACTCTAGGTTTACAAGAATTAACTTTTCTCGAAACTTTAAATTTAAAATTCCAATAGATGTGAAACAGGATTTGCAGCGTTATTGAGTCCTAGCAGCGGTTATAGCGGTATCTACGATAAAGCGTCCTTTAAAGATCTTGAAAAAATAAACGCAGAATAAATTAGAAAAAAATGATAGTTGTAAATTATACTTCATGGATACTTATACTTTTAATACATTTATGTCAACAGGATATCAAATTTTGAAATTATAACGTTTTTTTTTTTTTTTTTGCTTACATAGAAGTTTAAAATATGTTATTTTAATTTATTAATTATTTGAACAAGAAAATCATGGTGGATTCCATTGTCGCTTGTTGATTATGTTCCCGAAGGCACCCACGTTCGTAAACTATAAACATTTTACATCTATTGTTATCAATATTTTTTTTATAATTTTTATATAGTGGACTAAAAGATAAACATTTTGTCACTGGTATTTCATATTAATTTATTTATTTTATTTCCCAGCGTCCAAATCGACCATTTTTTTTTTTTTAATGTTTACATTATGGCATAAAATGCAAATAGTGAATGAAAACGCAGCTATCCATTTACGGGGTTATTATTATCCAAACGGAACGATGCGTGCCATTTCTGTGAACGAATCAAAAAACAACGAAATTACCGAGTTACCACCGCACAATACCATCAGCAAAGCAAACAAATTAGTTACTTTGATGATTCGGTGAACAAAAGATGGGGAAAAAATTCTGAAATACATATGTGGAAGGGGGAGGGATTGAAAAAAAAAACTCATTTTCACCGGTAGACTTAAAGCATTATGCTTTTGTACAGGAAGTGTGCTGAAGTGATTTTCATACACAAGAACAACAACAAATGATGGAGGTCCACTGATCAGTAAGTTGAAAACTTTACAGTCCGGATGTGGGCATGTACAAAAGAAATAAAAGCTCAAATTGGAGAAAAAGAGGGCAGATCAACAAATTTCCTTCTTCCTTTATGCGTGAATTAATTTTTTTTTAACCATGAAACTAAGCAGAGTAAGAAGAAAATATTGAATTGTTTGGTGCTTGTACCATCATTTTTTTTCTTCCGAAAAGCAAAATTTGAGTCTGCTAGGTTGATCAACCTCTTATGTAAAAACGTTTTTTTTTAGAGGAAGTTGACGTTTTGTTTACTTTTTTGATACTTTTTTTACGTTTGTGCAAGTAAATGTTCATGATTGACGACAATGTGAAGTGCTTTGGGAAATATACTTATAAGTCACATTTTTATATCAATGTGTTGATTTCTATTGGTTTCAGATAGGTGCTTGAAGCAAAGAATATGTAAGTTTCCACAAGATCAAAGAGCAGGGTTTAAGCTGAGTTTAAAATTTCTTTGGTGAGAAAGCTAAATTCAGCAATAATATTGAAATGCTACAAGTCTTATAGATTTAAATTTGTATACCATTCTAGAAACCTTGATGTGCCTCATTTTTATTAAAAGAGAAAAATAAAATTTCATTTAATAACAAGATTTACTGCTCATGTAAAAATCTGATAGTTATTTATTTGTTCATTTTATTTTTTATTTCTTTTTCTCAAAATTTAATTTTTGTTTGCAAAGCAGAAGTTTTTTTCTTCTTTTGTTTAATAAGTATTTGTCATAAGAACTTTATAAAAATTACTTACAGAACTTAAAAATAGAACTTAACAATCTTGAGAATTTCAGAAAAATATGACGCAATTGTTCTCGTCTTTCGTTTTTTTTTTTTTTCAAAGATATCGGCTTTTGGCTAATCCCGNTTTTTTTTTTTTTTTTTTTTTTTTTTTTTTTTTTTTTTAAATAGAATTTGGTAAAATGCTGTAGCAAAAAAGCGAAGATATCTTGGTTTATTTTTAGCACTATAATAAGTTCTTTTTGCATTTTTCTAAAAATACTACCTACCTACCTATGCTTTTTCTAAAAATGCTAGCAGCAACGCATCACAACAGCAAAATCTATAGAAATATCATATTGCTTACAAGGAAATCGTATGAATTTTCAACAAAAATGCATATATATATATACCCGTTATCTTGACGCAAGAAATATATCAAACGTATTTTCACTTTGACATTTTATTTTTAAAGATATTTTGATATCATATATATATACACTTGAAGTTAGTAAAATATATGTTTTAATATGTAAATGCTGCAGTTTCAATTGAGGAGCATTGTAGGCTGGGTTTCTTCTCTTAATTCATATCGTATATAGTCTTAATATTGCAAATCCAAATCCGCATAACTGGTTAAAATAATTTTATTAAATGATTTACGTTTCTAATGCAGGTAGAAGTACTATGTTACCTATGTATTTGTATTTTCTTAAAAATAGTTTGAAGTATGATTCTTTGACGCTTTTAACTAAATTAGAATTTCAATTTCTTCCAGGTATTGGATCTGACAGCGAAACTGAAGGTGACGAGCATGTTTGCGGCAAATGCAGGGCTGAGTTCCCAACCTTATCAGATTTTCTGTTACACAAGAAAATTTGTGCCAGCAAGCGACCTGTTCTGGTGGCACCACTGGATACCACCATGGAAACGGACGACGAAGAAAATTCCGACGATATGGAGGATGGTTTCACACCTCCTCCGCCCCAATTAGAGGGAGCTCAGGTAGATTCCCCTCAGGTGGCCGAATGGCTACTAGAAAACAATAAAAACTTTCGATCTCTTCTTAACACTCAAATGCCGTGCACTAACGTTACTCTTCAAGGATTGGAAAACACATCTGTTGCTGTTGCACAGCACAGCCAACTTGAGGAAATGCTCATTCAGGGACTATTTAACGTTATAACCCGTAACCAACAAGAATCGATGAAACTTTTTAAGGAATGGGCGAAACAATTCCTTGCGTCACATCCTCTGAATGTAGCTCCGTTGAGCGGAGCTCCAACAGTAACATCTCCACAATCTACAGAGAATGGGGACCATCTAGAATCGAACGCTCCACCTTCGAATCCTCTAATTACGGAGCCCTATTCCATAGCAGGAAGACTTCAACAAAATTTATCCATGACAAATCTATCACTTGATGGTCCTCCTGAAACGACTAACAGTCTGGCATTGTTGGAAAAGCAAGCTGACCGTTACATTCAAGATTCAATGGCTAGACGGTCATTTTTGTTAAATGGAATAGAAGACGATAACAGGTAACAACATAATAAATTTCATTAATAGACCACTATTCTTCAACTTAATATATTGGGCAGCAATTTAGTTGACTCAGTTATTTTTGCCCCGTGTTTAGTTTTCAACAGATAGAAATCTCATTTTTAGTGGTAAGGGATCTTCCAAATGTGTGATAGTTTTTAAGTAAATACAACCGAAAGCAATGTAATGCAGTGAAACTTGTGTACGTTAAAAGCTTTTTTGGACAACATTTTGTTGATCCACAAAGACAAGTTGTCAACTTAAAAAAGAGGGATTTAATTGTTTGTACCAGTTTTGCATATGGTCATTAAGATCAACTTATAGACTGGTAATCAACACACTGAGGTGGATTGTTAACTTAACAAGTTTCACCGTAATTGAAAATTAAATTGATTAAGAGGTAACTATACTTCAATTTTCATTCAATTGCTTGTCACTGATGATGATACTTGTTTAGTGTCGATTTTATTTTTGGGTGCATTCTGCAGTATTTACTACGACGCGAAGGTCGATTCATTCCTCAACATGGCTTATTCAGTAATAGTTTGTGAGCTAGCTCCAATTGAATGAATTGGGAAATTAAGAAAAAAATCGAATTACCTTTCAATTAAAAGATCAATTTAAAATTAAGTCATAATGCGTCGTAATATTAATCAGACTGATTGTAAGTCAAAATTTTAAAACTAGTTAGAAATGAGTTTTGTGAATATGTAAATATCACAAATGATAGAGATGTAGAGGTGCAGGTGTTTATGTGTAGCAGAACCTAATTTAAAAGCATTTATGGTGTGTTAAAAAGAAATAAAAGACTTATAACAATAATGGTAGTAAATGAAAAGTTATTTTTAAAAAAATATATACATTTTTCCATATCATATTATTCTCTAGTGTTACAATGTCTAGTGTTACAGGAGTAAGAAAAAAAAACTCAGAGAGTCATGTCAGAGAATAGTATTTCATAAAAATAAGTTCTGACGAGAAAATTAGATGAGATTTATTTTTTTTAGTTGGGAAGTGTAATTTTCAGTCGCCCCAAAATGTTTCATGGCATTGAATTCTATTTATCAGAATACCATTTATTTATTAATCATCATATAAAAACATTCACGCATTTCAAAATTGTTTTAAATACTTTGCAACTTTTTTGAAACCAAAATTATACAAATTTATCATTGAATTGTTTCAGGTCAAAAAAAGGAAAAGATGATCCGGCTACAAGGCACAAATGTCACTTTTGTGGTAAACTATTAGGCAGCGACAGTGCTTTACAAATACACGTAAGGTCTCATACGGGTGAAAAACCGTTTCAGTGCAATGTTTGCGGAAGTGCATTCTCAACTCGTGGAAATTTGAAGGTCCACTTCCAAAGACACAAGGAAAGAATGGAGATTCCAGGCTCCTTCTTAAATGCTGACCAGAAACAATCGGACAGTCAACCATCCATGCCCCCGGAGTCTAATAGTGACAATCCACCAATGCTGTATGGAAATGATGAAGATAATCACAGAGGTAAGATCCCTCATTTTACGCACTAAAATGGAAATCTAGTTTCATGCACTAAAATTGAAGTTTTTAAATAGAAAATTTTTATTTTTAAACGACCACCCAAAGAAAGCATCTTCTCAAAAGAACTTATTATAAATTTTATTGTAAACAGTAACAAGAACTTCATGTTTTTGCTTCCATAATCTTATAGTTATTTTAAAAACTAACATAGTAACTTTTGTTATAAATTGATCAACTGAACGGAATTTTATACAGCATCTAGTTAATTTATCTTCATCAGTAAATCGTGTATTATGATAAACAATGATAAATCATGACCAGAAAAAACTATGAAGCACGGAGGGAATGTGCTCGAATTTGTAATGCAAATTAAGAGGGAAGAGCGGTTTATGTACACGAAAACTGGTTGTATAAAAAACAAATTTCGAGGTGGATAAAAATCGTTCTTCAACTTAAAGATTCTCAAAATGTCACAAATTGCGAAGCAATCGTCATTTTTGTAAGAAATGGTCATAAACCGTTTTTGCCCCTTGATCTTCTAATAGAAAATAACGCAAAAAAAAAATAATTAAAACATAGCAATTGGGAATAGGCAGCAGTTTTTATTTAATATATAAATGGAGCGATCAGTGCAAAAATACTAGAAAAATTAAACTGAGTTTCATGCTTTACACAGCTTCATCAACTACTTGTTGACAAACCACAACCAAGAAGGACTAGGACGCAATGATTGTTCACTATGTGCTGGAGAAAAATGACATAAAAAGATCAAATCCAAACAATACAATTGGAAGCAGGCTTCAGGTTTAATACAATGAATAAGTACCATCATAAGTGAGAATACTGGAATAAAAAATATTTTTGTCTCAATACTGATTCACCAAATCAATGAAATTTTACGGTGCATTCAGTAGAGTTCATCTTTTAATAATCGAGTATTTATATAATTTATAATTCGAAATTCCACTGTATAAATAAGAAACTGCATGTAAATCAGCAGTGGCGTATTACGATTCTAATTGTAACAAGTATACATCAATACAAAAATTATTTTTAGCCCTACTCTTTTTCCAGCCACAATAATCAAATTGTAACATAGAGATATAGTAACAATTGTAACAAAGGTTTCTGATGTAAAAGGGTTTACAAAAATCTCAGTCGAGCGGTTTATATAATACATATTAAATATAAAAATGATAAAATTATTAATTCTCTTATACATTTTTTCAAATTAGATTGAATCATTAAACTAATATTTGAAAGAAAAACAAGTAGTATGGATAAGACTTAGGTATAAAGCAAAGTATTTGAGCGAAATTTCAGGCTTTCGTAGTAAAAATATGTATGGAGAATAATTGGGAATATAGAAATGAACTTAAATTTCTATAATTTATAAATCGTCTAATTTTCCTCTACTGCTAATAATCCCTTCTATAATATACATAGAAAATGTTAATTTGAATATCTTATCAGAAATTGATGTAAAACACTCGTGAAAATAATGGAAAATGTATTAAAGAACAAAGTAATGTACATTTATAAAATAGATAGATCTCTCTATGTTGCGTTTATCGGACGGCAACAGAAAAGTATGATGTTATGAATTTTCTTAACAAGACAAAAAGAACACAATAGTGTTTGGAACATATCCAAATACGCACACTATATTGGAAAAACTTAATGTATATAACTTATTAAAATGTTTGTAAGAGAATTTTAGTTTAATGCTGTTTTTCTTAATAATTTTCTTGCAGGAGATTCTTCAAAGATAGAGCAAGCCTTAGATTTTTCCACACCACTAAACGGAAGAAAATCATCAAATCCTGATCTTAATAGTGGAAGTCTTTCCCCAAACGATACATCTAATTTTAGTGATAATTCTGGAGATGGTTCTTCGGACGATAATATGCCCGACGATTACTCTGATCTGAAAATAGACGTTGAAAGATTCGATGATGAAGACAGAGACACATCTAACTTAGATGACGATGGATCAGAGGTAGCTTCTCATCCTTCTTTCGGTTCACCCAATTTCGCTCCTTATTTCCTCTCCCCATACGATTATCCAGTCTCAACTGCAACTTCGACTGCAGGAAATACCACTGTTAGCAACTCCATAACCAACACTAAGGGTGCAAATGGGGACAACTCTGAAGCCATTTTGCAAGACCCAAGCTATTATCAAGACCTTTTGCCGAGAATAGGATCCAATGACAATTCTTGGGAAAGTCTTATTGAAATAACCAAAACATCTGAAACGTCAAAGTTGCAGCAACTTGTGGACAATATTGAACATAAATTGGTGGAACCAAATCAATGCATCATTTGTCAGCGCGTGCTTAGTTGTAAAAGCGCTTTGCAAATGCATTATCGCACTCACACCGGAGAAAGGCCATTCAGGTGTAAGCTTTGCAATAGATCATTCACCACGAAGGGGAATTTAAAAACACATATGGGAGTTCACCGACAAAAACCTGTTGCAAGGCTAATGCACCAATGCCCTGTCTGCCACAGTCAATTTCCAAATGCCATCGTACTTCAGCAGCATATTCGAACCCATACAACGGATCATGTAATGCAGCTTCCACCAGTGTTTCACCCTATCGATGATAGGCCTCCCACGTTATTACCTCCTTCATATCCCAGACAGTTCCTCCTTCAATCTCAACTGGTAAACTCTGAACCATTGGCCTTGACAAGTTCTAAATCTCAAGAAGATTCAAAAGGTTCGCCTGCAAATGAATCCGTTATTAAAGTTACTGGGTTAGAAAATAATCATGTAAATACTGCCTCATCTCCTCTGAGTGCTCGAAGCAGTTCTCCGTCTTCAAACATGGAAGAGAGTTTTGAAGAAAAAGAATCTAAACCACCAATTTTAAACTTAGCTCAAAGTGATCGAGATGTTTCTCCTCAAAAAGAAGTTAAACCAGACAGTGAAACTTACGAGGTGACTTTAAAAACTGTATCTCGCAACTCAACGCCTGAAAAAGATAAAATTACTGATAGCATTCCAATGGACCTAAAATCTAACATAAAATCCAGTCCAAAGCAAGAATCTGATCAAACACCCAGCAACAATGAGGATTCAGAAAGGGAATCGACGGATACACCAAACAGACTCGAAAAACTTTCACCCAAATTTGTTAGTCCACCAAATACATCTCTGTTAGTTACTCTAGCCAGCGACCGACCATTACCCATGACGTTACCCAGTGATTGTCCCATACCATTTTCTGTACATGGTCCAGACCGGCATTATCCACCAATGAGCATTTCAAACTGTTCTGATTATTCCACTGCTTCTTTAGCGGCATTAGAAAACCATGTTAAGGGGATTAACAGTAGTGTTACACATCCGCTTCCGTTTGCACCACATTTTGGATTGGGTATCAATATGGCAGGTTATTTTAGAGATTATAATTACCCTCAAAAGCCTACAGCTTCTCCAACTATCAACAAAAACAATACTGATCCATCAAGTGAAGAAAGAACAACACCTGGTGTAGTTGTTACCAATGGAAAAGGGGAAACTCCCAGAACTTCTTCGCTAAGTAATCAAACTTTATCAAAACATGACAGCAACAATAACGGTGGAGGAGCTTTGGATTTAACTCCTCGAAGCTCTCCGGCATTCCAGCGTCCAGCTACATCAGATTTAAAAATATTTCCACCTTTAGCCGGACTTCCGTTTGGACCACCACACCACCGATCCGGCACAACATGCCGAGTTTGTTACAAGACTTTTGCGTGCAATAGCGCTTTAGAGATTCACTACCGCAGCCACACCAAAGAACGTCCGTTCAGGTGCGAAGTGTGTGACAGGGGTTTTTCTACAAAGGGTAATATGAGGCAGCATATGCTGACTCACAAAATCCGCGATTTTCCCCCGCAAGCATTTTCCACCAACAGCAATAGCAACTCGTCACCTATAACGAGTTCGCCTCAGAAAGAAACAAGCGGGGAAAAATCTCCAAAGAAGGTGGATGAAGGAGTTAAGCGCCAGTCCACCGACGTGGCTTTACCACCTGTTCCAGCGAAGAGAGCGCCTGGTACTCCTAAGCATTTATGTGAAGTTTGTCACAAGCCCTTCTCCAGCGGAAGTGCTTTACAAATTCACATGCGCACACACACAGGAGATAAACCTTTCCAGTGCCATATTTGTCACAGGGCATTCACAACAAAAGGCAATCTAAAGGTTCATATGGGAACACACATGTGGAATAACAGCACATCTCGCCGAGGTCGACGCATGTCTCTTGATCTAGGACCTCTTCAGTTGAATCCAGGTGCGAAGCCAGGGGAATTCGCACAACCTCCTTACTTTCCTTACCTCAATCCTTTTATGAATGGGTTACCAAATCATCCCCATCCTCCTCCGCCACCACCAAAAATGAATGAAATATCTGTCATTCAAACGGCCGGAATGAGCAATGGCAGCAGCGCTAGTGCTCCTATTACCACAAGTCCTTCTGTGACCACAACTCCTCAACCTCTTTCTTTGTTGTCCTCTAACAAACAGTTGGACCGCAGCAGCGAGAACAGTCATCGCCAAAATCAAATTCAGAGTCACTCTCAGGGAAAAGACATACATCCGATACTGCAATCGAGTCAAGAGATACCGGCGTCATGGCCGTGGAAAATCTCGTGCAATGTGTGCAATAAGATCTGTTCCTCGTCCACCGAACTGGAGTTACACATCAGAAACAATCACTGCAACAAAAAAGAATCAGCAGAGACTGAAAGAACTGATTAAATCAGCATTTGTTAGCATTAGATTTTGAAGTAGTCATGTATGAAAAAAAAACAAAGTTCCTATATACGCTAGTCGTTCTTCAATTGACACTTCAAGCACAAGTTGGTGATTGGAAATGAGTTATAATACTTTCTATTGTGATACGCCACACTTTAGTGCGATGTTGTGACAATATACTGTTGGAAAAAAAAATATTATAATTTAACTTTTGCAAAGTTGAAGTTCTACAACAGTTTGAAGTCCACTATCCCCACTGAGTGTAATATTTATAGTGGTTTTTCCCTGAGGATTTGAGGCTCAGGTTCGGCCTAACTTAAGAAAACAATCAAAGCATTAAAGGGGGCACAAAATCTTAAATGCTTATGCAGCATGTAAATTAAACGCATTCTCTCAAACCTAATTCTCCCAGCTTTAATTTTTAATTTTTATTTTCAAAGGAGTCAAGAAATTCATCTGATCTCATTTTACTGTATAAATGTTTTTTATTAGTTGTGTATGTATGTTTGTGAGTGAATGTGTATGTGTGCAAGTGCAAAGCACAACTGTTTTATGTTTAGAAAGAGTGTACTGTTTTGTTGATTTTTTGTTAATCTGTGATAGCTTGTAAAACAATTTCATGTTTTGTACCTTTGTGTAGCATCATTTATGTTAAGTAAATTATGCAAGATAAAATGTACATAATTTCTAAAACTTTTTTTTATTTGAAAAAAAAAATTTTTAAACACTATAAAACATGAGTCAAAATTTGTAAATAAAAAGAATATTATTGTTAAATTACCTAAAAAAAAAAGGAAGCACACTTTTGCTTTTTATCTTGCATAGTATATGACTGTGTTACGTGGCTAATATGTAAAGAAATAGGAGAGTTGTGAAGTAATTGGTGTTTGTCACGTGGATATTTTTCAGAAAATATATATATGTAAGGTTTCTGTGGTCAAGGAAAGATGCAAAATTTTACTACAACTATAAATTTTTTATTAATGTCATTACAAATATCCACTGTGACTTAAGTATAAGTACGTATGATTTAAGTTACACAAGGTCTCAATTCTGAAATATACAGTGCGCCAAATAAAAAACAAAACACCAGAATAACTTTTGATCGAATAATCGCCTTTTTACGTACTTATATCGTGAGACTGATACTAAATATCCAAATAATTGCTGCATGCGATATTTTCAGTTATAAAATGTAATACAAAAACAAATTCTCTTTAAAAACAATTTTTGACAGATTTGAATTTTCGATTCTTGAAATATGGGGTTAAAAGTAACTTACAATTTAAAAAAATAACCACTAAAATAATTATAAAAAAATGTTGCATGGAATTATAGTTGGGTAAACGAGTTTTATAATTGAGTTTAGTTGTCGATTCGTGGGAAAAGCTAGAGGAATTATTAAAATGCATAACAAAAAATTAACATTAAGGGTATCAGATTTTTGTTGGGACCCTATTTTCCACATTTTGATTGCCTCTTTTCATCTTATGAGAGTATACAAGACCGAAAAAAAAAGACTACATTTATTGAGAGAAAATACATTTTTTCAGCTAACTTCGTAACTCAAAAAACCGTTAGCTGTAAACGATTACTTTAAAATCTAATCATTAGATCAAAAGTTGTTTAGGTATTCCCTTTTTTCACTTCGCGCTCAGTATAATATTTCGAAATATTGATCTTTTTTTATCAAATTATTTTTTTGACCATATATTTTATTTTTTAATTCTTTCATGACCACAAAAACCTAAGTCGCATTAAATTTGTAGGTAACTTAAAAAGCTGGAAATAATACCTACGAGATTACTGAAGAAGATTCGAGCTGTTCGTATTTTGCTGGAAAAATACCAAATCTGATTTTATATGCTTAATATAATTTTATTTCTATGTGCTTTTATGTATTTTTTCATCCTCAATTATCCTTGGCATCTTTAACACATAAAAATAGTGCATTCATAATATATAATACGTTGCCAGTCCTCTGCTAAGTTAGGACATATTCAAATATGTGGGGTCTAGTCATCTAGGGTAAGATATAATAAAATATCAAAATGAAAGATAAGTTTGGCAATATCTATCATCTATTTTAGTTCAATTCTTTGCACAATAGAAAAAAAATTAAGTCATTTTCACAATTTTAATTTCATGTATTTCAAAATAAAAATTTCCAAAATAATAAATGTTTCAATTTAACTTGCACCTAACCTTCTAGAAGGTTTGCTGTGATGTGCTGCAAGTTTATTTTTATTTTATTATACAAGACATTTCCAATGTTATAAACTTAAAAAGCCTTTTTTTAGGCGTTTTGTTTTGCCTTTTTCAACTGTTTTCCAAAATTGAATAATAACAGAATAATAAATCAATAAGTTGGTTTCAGAAGGAAGATACTCTACTTTTTTTGAATATGTTATATTATTTGTTATTTATCGTAATTTATGACAGAATTTTATATTTCTGATTTACTTAATGCTTATTCTTGTAGTTTTAAATGACCATCTACTAAAACTTCAAAAATATATTACTATCGAGATAAAATATGAGAATATATAATCCTTGAAAGAAGAAAAATTTAAGAAAAAACTTAAATTTAAAAATCATCTGAATTCTCAGAAACAATGGGAAGGACATGCGAACATTTTTTTTTGTTTTGTTTGATGTACCTTACAATTTAATTGCGAGTACGATGGAACGAGATCTCAGATACAATTTTAACTTAACTTTACTCTCATAAATGATGCTTCCAATGCATCCCTTGCATCAAAAGTTATCTTAAAGAATAATTCTTCTACGTCTTAAACATAAAATTGAGTTTCAGATTCATTCTCTGATCAAGAAATAAAAATTATATCAGTGATAAGTTGCGTCAGAATGATATCACATCCATGAAACTAAAATTCCTAAGAAGTTTCTTGCGTGTTACATCATTATTATGCGATTTATCACAATAATTTCTCTTCCAGAATTCTGCAAGCGTTCTTTAGAACACAAGTTGTGGAAAAATCCTGTCAGTGATTTGATCCTATCACTTCCATGCTGCGCGCGACATATTGCGATCTCTATTTCGGTGAATTGGTTAAAATATCGATTCAAAATCGTTTCTTGCATCACAAGCTATTCCATACTCCAAATTCCTGATTAATTTGAATATACTTTTTCTGAATGAACTTTTTTTGATGAGTTCCGATGCCATTTTTTGAAGATTCTCGAATCATTGGTAAAGTGTTTCTCAAAACTCATCCTCAGAGGGAAAAACAACACATTTTGGTCACATTAACCAGTTGCGTTGAAAAAATGCACATTAAGATAATTTTGTTACAAAATTGGCAACGACGAACTGCATACGTCGACAACTGCAGACAACTATCACAGGAAAAAAAAGACTTTCGAGGCTCGTATTTTTAAAATGACTTGTATTTTCTACAAGGCATCGAACACTCAAGGGTACGCTATACCACAGGAGAAGCCCTTAGTGACAAATTCTGCTTCAATTAAATTCGTAATTTAAAACTCAGAAAAAAGTGTGTTCAGGTATACCTATAGTATAGGTTTTAAAAAAAAAATTCGAAATATCAAAATACTAACAAATTAGGACAGGACTACGCAGTGTGGAAGTAATTTTACCACAATGTATTTGCATTTTGTTATATTTTGTAAACATTTTTTCAGCATTTGAACTTCATGGTTTACTTTAGGTTTACCTGAACTTGCTTTTTTATAAGTTTTAAAAATACGAGTAGGGATTAAACTGGATTTGCCATGAAAAATTTTTCACTCGGCATAACGTTTTTAAGTCTAGTAGTGAGTTGTAGTCAATTTTTGGTAAGCTTATCTATTAATTTCTTAGCAGCACAAATGGTTAAACTCATCTCAAATTTAAACTGCAAGTTCTACCCTTCTGAAAAGAATTGCGTGTAATATAATTGCTGTAAAAAATTATTAAACTTTCTTTTTTTTTTTTTTTTTTAAAAAAAATAGCNTTTTTTTTTTTTTGAAAAAAAATCTTGAATTTTTCCAAGAATCATGAAAATTATTGAATGATTCTACATATTTTTTCATATTTCTCCGATCCTAAATTTGGGAAATTTAAACAAAAATTTCAACTGTTAAGAAAATATCACAAAAGCTTTTTATTTTCACAAAACTATTGCTTTTCTTCTTTTTTACACTAAGCGCCATTTTCATAATTAGCATACAAGGCGATAACGAAAAATAGACAAAATTTAAAATAATAATTGTGAATTACTGTGGCAGCAATTGAAAAAAATAGTTCGCTAAAAAGTGTTGATCTTACAACCTTAAAAATGCTAGATTACCTCTGGAATTAACAGAATTTTTTATTCCATATCTTTAATTCATAATTCAACCAAGAACAAGTCATTTTATATGCGGCTCACAAATGGAAGTGAAAGGATTAAGAAAGATGTTTTCTGGACGTGTTTGGGGCAGAGTAGTTACTTTACGTTTCATTCTAAAAAGCACCCACTGTATGCATTCCTTAGATAACTTTTGTTAGCTGGTGCGATGCATTGGTAATTCAGTTGAAGAGATCTTTGTGCGAGGTCTTCCTTTTCTCTTATCTGTACCTGTAGCTCTTCTGTGTCATGTTAGCTGCTCGCAGTCTGATTTCAATGTTGTTATATATGTTGTTCATAAATGTTATCGGCTGCCTCTGACTGGGTTGGAGTCATATCACATCTGTACAGCGCGCCCCAAGAAGAGGACAAGCTGCATATATCTCAACAAAAAAATGCAATTTAATAAAAACTTTTTTTTTGTCAAACAACTCTCTTACTGTATTATTTAGAGTCGAAATTATTTAGTTTTAAACACTCCGCCTGCATGAATGGAAAAATAAATTACCGATAGTCTTTAATATTAAATCCTTTATTGCTTTTTTGTACTCAGTTTAATTATCAGGGTTATGTCACATTATAACTTCTTATGCAACTTAGTTCAAAACTTTTTACAAATCCGAATAAAGTTAATTTCATGTATTCACATTCAGTACAAAGTATTCTAAATCTAAATAAATCTTTGCAATTTTTATTTGGACACTTTGGTAAATCGGAGCTGAACTTCATCAGTAGCTTAACAGTTAGCTATAGAGCTATCTCAATATACTAGAATGGATCGTTGCAAACACTAAGTTGCTTCTGGTAGGCAAGAAACGCTATCTGTATCAGCAATGGCTGAAGCTGTCTGCTTCGGTGAGTTATTAGTTCAGGTTGTATCTGGACACAGCCGGTTTATGGAGTGAAAATTTTACTTTAAAATATAAAGTATGATTTATGATGTTCAAAATTTACGAGAGTCTATCAGTTTAGCTTTAAGAAATCCTAGGAGAATTTGAAACCACAACTGTTAATACAATTATGAGTTAAAGATGTTCTTAGAAAATCATTTTGTACTTTTTCCTCTATTATCATACAATCAATGAAAACATTCAAAATAATAAAAAGGGTTTGAAACAAATATTTTATTTAAAAAAATAATTATTGAATTGCATTGAATAATTTCCAAAGCACAATGCTGCTTATGAAAATGCAGGTGGATCGGCTAATAATGCTTAGTATTCTAGTACGACATACAAAAAATAAACATTTTTCCACAAGAAGATATTCCAGACATACAGTGAAAACACTGCATTTTACAAGATTAAAATATCAATCAACTATATTATGGAAAAAGTGTTTTCTCTTATTTCGTCGTCAACGTGACCACAAGGTGTTTTTTAATGTCGAAATTTACTATGTTATCTAACATAAATGATAAGTTTTTTTTTGGTAAGTAACTAGCAGCTTCTGACACACTAGAATTGAGATATTCTGTCATGTTAAATTTGGGTAATAAGCAAGCTTGTATATTAATGGTTATAATCAAATTAAGCTTTGAGTAAACTAATAATTAATTCTCGTGTATCAAAAGTGGGATTTAAGATGGAGTTCTTTTGTTAACTTTTAACTAATTCGCTTTACCTCAATATTAATTACTAAATGCCATTCCGAATCATCTTAAAATTCTTTCTACAATTAAAAATTTTTACTTCTTTCATGTTAACCTACTGTGAATTATATGGATGCAATTTCCTTATTTATGAGTAACTGTGTAATATTTCGGAATGTTACTTTATTCCATTTAATTCGTTGAAAAGTATTCAATTGAACAAGCACAGAAACTTTTCAAAGCACATTTTGCTTGGATTACGTTGGTATCTTAAAGTTTAGAGAAAAGTTAGTTCAGGCAAACCTACAGTGAAACCATGAAGTTTTACTGAAAAAATATTTGCAAAGTAAATATTGCGGGATAGCTTTTCCACTGCATAATCCTACCTACCTACCATTAAAGCAAATAAAAACAATTAAACTTGTAATATTAAATAGCGTAATAAAAAATTAAAAAAAGCGCAAGTGAAAGTATAGAAACGGAGATACTATGATTTCGGTTCTATTAACAAGAACCTTAATCTATGTTTTATATCACTTCACTTCCTCAGTGTTCTTGTTTATAGAACTAAAACTATAGAACGTCCATATCTACACTTTCCTTCGTGTTTTATTCACGTTTTTTTATTATTAGTCTACATTGCACGAAATCCCTATCCTTTTTGAAAATCCTGCCAGTATAATTTTTCCTTCCTTGACTAACGTTACTCCCCAAGTTAAACTTTGTTTACACAGGTTTTTCTTTCGTTTACGTTTTTCTAGTAAACTCGGGCTGCTACGGGGCAACTTCATAATACGAAAAATTAGATATTAACTAAATCTTACAAGTGCAAGAAATAAGTACATGTTAGTTAACAGTGTTTTTCATAGCTCTTACGCCTAGGAAAATTTTAAAAAACACAATTGAAATGCTTTACACTTGAGGCAGAGCTATAATTTTAAACCATTCATAGCATTTTGCAACAAAAAATTGTCAGGACTGAGGACAAATAATTTAAATACTTTAAAAGTTATTAAACTTTTTTAAAAATCGCCACTTTGGCGAGATTTTTCCACCTAGATAAAGATTATCAAATCAATGAATAATTCTCAATTTTCTCAAATTTTTATCAATCCAGATAACGGAGTGTTGGCATAACTTTTTGAATATTAAAAATTTAGGTAATTAATGCATTACAACTCATGATGAATGTCAAGTGTTTTTTAAAATAGGTCGGTAAAATTACCTCAAAAAAATTAACTTCAGAAAGAAAACTATTTTATATAGTTATTAATTCATATTAACATTATCTTAAATTTGCAAGAAAGCTTACAAAATTCAAGTAAAAAAATTTATAATAAATCATCACTTATTTTTAAGCATTTAAATGTACTGATGGTGCCACTTAACATTTTTTTCAAACAAATTAAAATTTTGCTAAACTGTTTTTTTTAATTAAATGTCCCAATAGTAAAGAGTATGCAAATTCAAAAAAAAAGAAAATTTGCATAATAAATTGGAACAGTCTATTGCACACTGTGCAAGAAATCATGATGTTTAATTCATAAAATCAGTAGACGATTTCCCGTGCCTCTAGGGACACTTTCTTCAATACAAATTATTACTTTCGTGGTTCTTCTACACTGGTCAATAAAATCACTAGCACATGTCAATTAAAAAAATCCTACACAAAAATAAGACAGACTGGTTGTCGCTCATTGCTTATTGTACCTTAATTGCTATAATAACACAATTTTGTGATGTTTATAAATAGCCTATTATTAAAAGTTCCTTTTTTTTCTTTCACTACCTACTTCTGCTTCTTCTTTCTTTTTACTTCTTCTTTCCTTCACCTTTACTTCTACTTCTATTTTCTTCGCCTTCCTTCTCTTCCATCAATCTTATATCTCCTTTCCTCTTCTTTCTCTTCTCCCTTCATCTTCCTTTCTACATCAATTATCTCTACTTCTACTTCATTTTTTTTCACTCTCCTTACCTTTCTTTCCCTTCCTATATACCTCTCCTTCTTACCACCTTTTCCTTCTCTTCTTTCTCCCTCATTTTCACTACTACTTCTTTTTCCTTCGTTCTCCTCCTCTTCCTACATTCTCTTATCTTCTTTCTTCTTCTCTCTTGATTCTCTTACCTCATCTTCCTTCATCTTTGCTTCTACTTCGATCTTCTTTACTTTCACTTGAATCATCTTTACTTATACTTCTGTTATCTTTACATCTACTTTCTTTTTCTTCATTCTCCTTATATTTCCTTCTCTTCCTACAAACCTCATCCTTTTCTTTCTTCCTCTTAACCTCTTCTTCTTTTTTTTTCCCTTCGTCCTCTTTCTCTTTCCTACATTCTTTTATCTTCTTTCTTTTTCTCACTTCTTTCTCTTCCCTCATCTTCCTTCATTTTTGCATATATTTCGTTTATCTTTACTTCCACTTCTTTTTCTTCACTCTCCTTATCTTTCCTTCTCTTTCTACACTCCTCTTCTTCTTCCCTCACCTTCTTCTATTCGTATTTTTTTTTTTTATCTTTATTTCTACTTCTTTTTTCTTCTTCTTCTTTCCCCTTTCTAAAACTCCCTTCTTTTTCTTCTTCCTCTAAATCCTTTCTCTCCTTTTTTTCCTAGTAATTATATATGAATCAGTGACAGCCTTCGAGTTGATACTGAGAAGCAGTCTCCAGCCTTTGTCATATGCTCATTTTGGCTGAAGCACTTAAAACGTTCCCACTGATTTTATTAATTATTTGATTTTATTTACATCGCCTTTCGTTTATTGTTGTTATTATGATTAAACAAATTACTTCATCAATGTCCCTTTAAAAAATTTCGAAATAAAAAGACGCATCAGAAAAAAAACAGAATAAAAATTTTGAATCTGAAAAAAAAGTAATGAAATAAAAAAAATCTTTCGTCAACGTCTCCAATTTCGCATGAAATCTCTGATTTTTTTCTCTTTTTTTTTAGCAGATCTACCCCTATATCTCGCTACTCCCACCTCCCGATATTTCAGATCGATGCCCATCAAAGGCC